CTCTCTCTCTCTCTCTCTCTCTCTCTCTCTCTCTCTCTCTCTCTCTCTCTCTCTCTCTCTCTCTCTCTCTCCCTGTCTCTCTCTCTCTCTCTCTCCCCTTTTGGCCCCACCCTCTCTTTTTCTTGCTGCACAGTGAAGATGATTTTGCTAGTCTTTTTCCCTCTATTTCCCGGCGCTCGCCTTCAACCGTTGTCATCCTTTTCTATCTCCCCTTGTCTCTTGCTGTCTCTGTTTCAATCCTTCTGTGCGGTGCATGGAAAATGACGAGTTTTGCTGATTTTCATTCTCAAGTTCTCAACCTGTTGTTTTATTGTCAGGACATCATAACTGTTTCACCGGACAAGCTGCCTAACTATGAAGAGAAGATTAAATCGTTTTATGAAGAGCACCTGCATACAGATGAGGAGATCCGTTACGTTCTCGATGGAAGCGGTAATAACTTAAACATGTCATCCAATGCAGCCGACCTCCATAATCACCACCTTTTCCCTACAAAATCGACCCTTTGTCTGTGCTTCTTCACGATTTCTGGTTTTTGCTTTGCCGCCTGTCTTTGATTGGCTGAGAGTTTAAATTGGAAAGGCTTCTTTAAAAAAAAAAAATAAAAAAAAAATGGAGAGGCTTCTATAGTGCTGCTACTTGCTCCCTCCTTTATCCCAGAATGGCGCATGGATAAAGTAAGGAGGGGGGGGGGAAGGGGCATATTTGTCTTTACTGCTGGGATGGAGCAGAGGTAAAAGGACCACCGATGGGCCTTCCTCAGTTGGTGTGCCGATGAACTGTTGGAAAACAGACACTTAGTTCGAATCCATATGGATCTAGATGAATGACATGAAATAATTCTTAGTTACCTGAGCCCGGTCAGTTCGACAATGATATCTCAAGGCCGTCAGTGGTGAATGCCAGCAGGAGGGAAACAGGCCGATTTTGACGGCCGGGTGCTCTGTGAAACAAAAATAAAACAAAAAGAAAAAGGAGTGAAGGACACCATCAGGAAGCAAAATCAGTCCAGGATTAAGTTTTGTAAGTGACCGATAATGAATTGCTGGGATTTTCAGCAGTAGAGAAGGTCAGCTTGTGACTGGTTATAAATTGGATTATTGTTTTTTAGGGCAGCCTCAGGTTTTGGAGTGTAATGTGGGGGTAGTTTCGGGAATGGTGGAGTATTTTGGGGCATTTTGCAGTATGTGGAGATTCTTTTGTAGTAATTTGCAGTATCGTGGATTTATTTTATTTTTTTCTGTATTTTGGAGGGTTTTTAAAACTCTTTTTGGAGTAATTGGGAGAGTATTCTGGAGGTTTTGTTTGGAGTATTTTGGAGTACTTGAGATAGTAGATGACTGCTAACAAGTGCAGTTGTGGGCGTGGCAGGGTACTTTGATGTACGTGGAGCTCAGGACGAGTGGATCCGAATTCATGTGAAGAAGGGTCACATGATCGTTCTTCCGAAGGGAATATACCATCGGTTCACTCTCGACGAAAGCAATTACATCAAGGTAAATCTCTCAATTATTCCATTTCAAGCAACTTCCAACTGATTATCGTAGATCTCTCTCTCTCTCTCTCTCCTGCCTACTCTACATCTTCTGTTCCTCCCCGTTTTTCTCTCCCTGTCTGTGTCTCTCCCTCCTGCCTACTCTGCATCTTCTGTCCCTCCCCCATTCTCTCTCTCTCTCTGTGACGCTTCTCCCTCCTGCCCACTATACATTTTTTTCCCCCCCCCCCCCCTCCCTCTCTCTCTCTCTCCATATCCAAGTGTAGTCATAACACTACAGTCGACTCTATCATTGGGGTATCAGTTTGATTCCCTTCTCACGGGTAGGTGATAACTTATACCTCTTAGCTTCTGCCATTGATTTGTGAGGTAAACTTTCATTTCTCCTTGATTCAAAGTGTGGCAATGGGGGGGGAAATAGAAAAGAAGTGCCGCTGCACTGTGGCAATCATTGATAAGATAAAGATAGCTTCTGTGAATGAGAGCTTTTGATGTAATTGATGTCCAGGAAGGCTGCTGCGAGGTTGCATGATGTATGGGTAGTAGTGCCCATTTATGAGCCCTCTGAGCAAGTGACCTGTAAATATACTGAACTAGTCAAACTTGTAGTATATTATTTTTCTTTACTGAAACTAAATATCTGTAATCCATAGCACCTTTCCATTGTAGCTTTCAGTTACCGTCTTCCCCTGTCCAGTCCTTTCCATCTGAATGCGGATGTATCTGATCTTGGTTTGTTTCGATTGATGTCTTGTCACACGGAGTTATTAGGTCCCTGTGGACCGACTTTCAGGTAAGATCGAGGTGAATGCTACTAGGTGATGGCTTGTTGAGGTGTGCTAATATTCACCACCACTCCGACGTCCACTCTTTCAGCTGAGCAGTGAGCTCTTAATTTTTTTTTGTTTTTTTCCCTAACGTTTTTTGCAATTCTCTCCACATACTGAATGGTACTCTCTCTATCTGTGATCAGGCAATGCGATTGTTCATTGGAGTTCCAGTCTGGACACCGTATAACCGCCCCCAAGATGAGAACCCTGCCAGGTGAGCACTCCCTTTATGCAAATGTCATTATGTGTGTGTGTGTGTGTGTGTGTGTGTGTGTGTGTGTGTGTGTGTGTGTGAGAGAGAGAGAGAGAGAGAGAGAGAGAGAGAGAGGTCTATAGTTGCGTTCCAATCACCGGCCAAAATGCAAATTTTTTTTTTCTTTTTTCGTTGCAGCCTCAAGGGCCCTGTTTTCACTATTCTTCTTCTTCTTCTTCTTCTTCTTCTTCTTCTTCTTCTTCTTCTTCTTCTTCGTCCTCCTCCTCCTCTTCTTCTCTCCCCTCCTCTTCGTCATTTGCTTCTTCTTCTTCCTCCTCCTCTTCTTCTCCTCCCTCTTCCTCGTCAATTTCTTCTTCTTCCTCCTCCTCCTCCTCCTCTTCTTCTCCTCCCTCTTCTTCGTCATCTTCTTCTTCTTCTTCCTCCTCCTCCTCTTCTTCTCCTCCCTCTTCTTCGTCATCTTCTTCTTCTTCTTCCTCCTCCTCCTCTTCTTCTCCTCCACCTCAGTTAGCCATAGCCGTTTAATTTTTATTTTTTTCTTGTCGCTGCTTCAACTCCCTTGCATTCTTCCTCCTCTTCTTCTTCTTCTTCTTCTCCTTCTTCTTCTTCTTCCTCCCCCTCCTCCCTCTTCTTCGTCATCTGCTTCTTCTTCTCCCTCCTCCTCCTCCTCCTCTTGTTCTCCTCTTTCGTTAGCCATAGCCGTTTTTTTTTGTTTTTTTTTTCTGCTTCAACTCTACTGCGTTCTTCTACTTCTTCCTCCTCCTCCTCCTCCTCCTCCTCCTCCTCTTCTTCTCTCCCCTCTTCTTCATCATTTCATTCTTCCTTCTCCTCCACCTCCTCCTCTTCACCTTCCCTCGTCTTTGTCATCTTTTTCTTCTTCTCCCTCCTCCTCCTCCTCGTCTTCTCCTCCTTCTCCGTTAGTTGTAGCCTCTCCCCCTCTTCTTCTCCTCCTCCTCCTCTCCTCCCCCCCCCCCCCTTTTCTAGCACACCCCAAAAAACAAAATCGAACATTCAAAGTTTTTTATTGCGGAATCCGACAGATCTAGGAAAGTGCAGTTGGATCCCGCGAAGAAAAATAAATAAATAAATAAAATTTTGGCATTTTTTTGGGCCATCCGGTTTGCCGGTTGACCCCCCTTGGCCCGGTCCGGCCCCGGTTGGACCGGGCCAGCTCGACGGGCCGGTTGCCGGCCCAGCCCTGCTTTCATCTGTCAGGTCTAAGATTCGAAAGGCAAGAGCTTTGGCTAGGATCTTATAGGGGAGGGTTAGAAGCAAGATGGGTCTATAGTTCCTGATATCTTCTTTCTCCCCTTTTTTGTACAACAAAGTGACCACGCTGCTACTAAGTAAGTTTCCAGTCCCCCCTTGAGCCAGTTGTCGTTGTAGAAGTTTGGCAAATCCCCCCCTAAGAGCGGCCACAATTTTTCCAATAATTCTTTTGTCAGCCCGTTGATACCTGGCAACTTATTGTTGTTCATACTTCGGACAACAAATTGCAGTTCTTCCATGGTGTTGGGCTTGTTCCTAAGATATCGTTTGTTCCAGGTATTGTAGCATCCTCATCCGTGTCTCTCTGGTGCTGGGTGGAGTAGGCATAGGGGTCTTCGTATGATAGAGCTCTTCGTAGAATTCGTTTGCTACTTCCAACATTCCTTCACTGTCTGTCACTGTTTCAGTTGGGTTTGAGAGGGTTTTCAAGCTTTCTACCGTGTTGGCTCTTGAGTTTGCTTTGATTCTTGCTAAGAAGTGTTTTGACATCGACTCACTTAGCTCGTATTCGTTCATTCTGACTCTTATTTGTAGTCCCTTTAGTTCCCACTATCTCCACATAGTGATTTCTTCTCTTGCCTTTTCAAAAATATGTGTAAAGTGCAGAAGAGGGGTTATCAATCAGATTTGTCTCTACGATATTTAGGGTTGTCTCCAACGCTTGCGTCCTCTGTGTCCTGTCGATCGCTAATTTCCTTGAGTTTTTAGCAACCGTCTGTGATAATGTGGTGTAGCTTTCCTGAAACCACTCCCACTGATCTTGTATGGGTAGGTAGGTACCCCTAAAGTTCTGCCTGTAAGCTGATTATGAGTTCGATGGGTTTGTGGTCCAGACCCGGGTACCGAATGTTATGAGTACGGTGCGAGGGGTAGGACCTCAACGCTTTTAGTTGTCCCCATTAGTGTCCCTGAGATCAGGAAGTAATCAATGAAGGAGAAAGCGGTGTGGTGGGCATGTTTTTTTTAACCAATGTGAATGTTTTTTTCCTCGGATGCAAAGTCCGGTATGGTTCGACTAAATTGTAGTTCATCATCAACTTTTGGATGGGCACCGCCTCCTGTGTAATTTGACCAGCCGAGGACCTGGATATACGATCCGTGCCGGGGTCCATAGTTGCGTTCCAATCACCGGCCAAAATGCAGGCTGCCAGAGGTGGAATCAAATGACCGATGTTGTTATAAATGTTGATTTGTCCGATGAGCCGTTTGGTGAATAAACATTGATTACTTTGAACTCTTCCTCCTTCCACTTTACATTCATAAGGCACCATCTACCGTCTACCGTGTCCGCGTCTTTGCCCATTATCGCCCCTGTGGTGTGTAGGCGGGATGATTTAGGTATAAGGATGGTTGTTCTTTTCGTGCTTGATGTATTATATGAGGACCATATTTCGTCCTTCATTCCTCACAGTTTCCTTGATAAGAGTCTTTGAATTCTGTTGTGTTCTGCTGAGAAGTGAGGTGAGATTCTTACAACAATATGATATCTGTCAGTTTATTTGTGTGAACGGTAAGTCCTTTGATTATGTCATTCATTTTTTCTTCTTGTCGACAATATTTCCGAGACGATTAATATTCCAACTCCTAATGACTATCCCTTGTGTCTTCCAGTCTACCCGGTCTTCCTTTGAATTTGCTCGCTTTCTTAAAGTCTCCATCATAAAGGCTACGGGGAAGAGGCAGGGGAACAATCATAGTGATAAACATCCTAGGAGGGGCCCTGATCGCTCGCATCCATCTCCGATGACGCATCATTTGGCGGGTTCTGTTGCGCGGCTTTGCGCCATGGTGATCAAATCATCTAGCTTATATTCCCTTACACGTCCGCTGGTTCCGTGCCAGGGGACAAGGGTCGGTTCTGATCCGACTCCGTAGTCCTCATCTTGCCACTTCTCCATATCGCTCTTGGAGCAATCACGTCTGTAATAATTGTCCAGATCTATGGCAAACGCCCTTGAGTACAGATCACTGTCCCCCTTCAGAATCCCAAAAGTCAAGAGGTGTGCCACTGAGACCGCCAACAGTTCCGCTGGAATGTTGGGTCCTACCAGCACGCTGTATGGAATCGCTTTCACTGTTCTCCATGGCCTCCACATCATCCCTCTCTTCGGCTTGGTTTCCTCTGACAGCTTTGCAATCAGGGGGGAGAAGGCGCGAGGGGAGTTTCTCTCTAGGTCCATATGATGGTCCGTCTGATCCTCTTGGCCATCTTGGGAGGATCTGTCCTCCTGACCATCGTCCAAGGCAACTGTTTCATACACGCCCAGTGGGTACCCCTCTGTTACCTTTTCTTGAAGAATATTGACGATATTTTGTCCTTCCTCAATCCTTGGGATTGTGAAGGACACATCTGTGGCGATCTGCCATTCTCCCTTTTTCTCGATGTACCTCAGCGGGCATGTGTCCACCAATGTCAGTCGTGCTGATTTGGCCAAGGGCACCACGTGTGGTGCCTCCCCATTGGCGATGTGCTGAATGGTAGTGAACTCTGGTGTGTACTTTGCATTCCACTTTACTATTTTTTTTGTTTGGGCCACAACCACTGCCACTTCTTTTTCCAGTAGTAAGTGTTTTGATTCCTCTTCTGCCTCTGTTTGATCTGAATTTGGTTACTTCTTTTTTTTATTTTTCTTTGTCTTCCATTTCTTTGGGCGCAGACGCTAAAGTGGTCGCAGATGCTAAAGTGGTCTTTGGTGTTGAGGACTGTTTTGTCCTTGTCTGCTAAACCTTGTTCTCTTGGCCTTTTTTTTCTGCATATCTGAAGGCAGTGTATTCATAGAATTCCTCTGCCTTCTCTTTCTTCAGCATGTCATACTGGTTTTTTGACTTCTCAATGCCAGTGATTGTCCCATTCTTCCCATTTTTCTGGGATCTCTTAATGTGCTTCAGACAAGCTGCTCCGATGACAAACATGTGCTCTCTCTCCCTCTTGGCCTTTTCGATGTATCCCCTCAGCCATTGAAGAGACCGTTGGGGCTCAGGCACTATCCATGGCTGCCCGCCCTGTCCCTTCACAGTCCTTGCTTGCTTTGCTGTCTGCACCGTCGTCGAGGGAGTCAAAAACTGTAATTTTCTTTTCCTCTACGCATGGGTCTGTTCTGTCCCCTTCTTCTCATCCGAGTTCATTGCCTTCCTCTTCTTAAGACCCACCTTTGTCATCCCCTGGAAGTCTACTTCGTCTAGCGTGCGTTTGTTGCCTATTTGTGTCTTGGCCCTTTTCTGTACGGCCTCTTGTTCCATCTGTCTCAGCATTTCTTGAAGAGTTGTTGGTTCTTCGCTGTATTCTTGTTTTGCCTGTTCTCTGACTGCTTCCAAGTCCCACAACAGATCTTCCCTAGCTTTTTCTTCTCTAACCACACAAGAGTCAATTAGGGGGTTTGTGTTTATCTTTGTTGGATTCCCTGTTACTTTGCCTGTTGCTTTTTTCTGCCATCTGCTGTCTGCAGGGAGGAAAATGTTGGGTTTTTTTACTGACCGTTCCTGATCAGCGTAGTGCCACACCCAATCTGGGTCATCCAAATTGTCGTCGAACACCCAACCATCGTAGTTGGAGTCGAACCAGCTGCCCGGGGCATTCTCAACTTCCACGAGCATGTTGGGATGGAGTTTTCGCTCCTTCGACTGTTTCGGAAATTTCGGGCAATTCGGATCGGTTCCCATATAACCGCGTTCCTTGCATCTGATCGGAGAGGTCTTGGTAGAGACCTTGACTTCTAATACTCAGCTCTCAATCTGGAATTTCCACGTCAGTGGAAGAAATGGGGGGTCATTTTTCTCGACTTCTAGTAAGGCCGTCATAGAGCCACAATGAGGTGCTAGAAAATCTGGAGTCGGCAGGATCCACTTGAGGATTTTATTTGCTGGATACAGTCTCTCCAGTCTATCCACCAACAAACAGTGGAATCCCGGTTGAATGTTGTCGGACTGCATCTAGAAATTCTCTTTCATCAAATGTCTGCTTGTATGAAAGCGTGAAAGCCGGATTTTGCCTTTGGGCAGTCAGTTTCTTCCATTTGGTTATCGGCAGATCGATCTGTTGCAGTTCCTGGACTTCATTTTTGTTGCGATCCGTGCGTAATCTTCATGGTTGAAGACCACCATGATACTGTTACGACCCAAGTTCTGCAGAGAAAAGGCTTCCCCAATATGTTTGAGTTTGTCCTCCTTTTTTATTGTTTCTATAATCCACTTTCTCTTCTCTGTCGGCATGATATATGCTCCATTGCGTGCAAAATTGAAAACCACACCTTGCCTTTAGTGAAGGTCGTCCAATTCGGGCACTTTCCCATCAGGGTACTTCCATACAATCACTTCTTCTTTTCCTTCTATTTTCTGCTTTTCTGTGACTGGTTCGCCTTCAACTTTTGTTTTTCTCAATAAAAAAAACGAGTGCTTCATTATTTATGATGGTCAATGTTGTCTTGTCCATTTGTGGGTTGAGGTGCATCGAGGTGACATTCTGAACAGCTTGTTTGAAGGAGGCTGCGTCGCGGCCTGTGGTTGGACTGGCCATACCTGCTGTTTCAGTCTAAGGTCTGCCAACCTTGTCACTCCCTCAGTCCTACTCGCCGAAATGAAAGGCCAAGCCTTGTCACTGTTGAAAGATGTGAGGAGATGAGAGGAGAGTCTGTAAGAGGCGTATGTAATTGAGATACAGGTGATAGGGAAAGGAAGTAGGGGGGTGAGCCACAAGGGGGAGGAGGGGGGGGGATGCACTTAGTGGGCTGGGAGGTATGACGGGAGGGGGTTGAAGAAGGGGGGGGGGGGGGGCGCTGGTGCACGAGTGTAAGTGTTTTGTTTTTTGGTTTTTAATAAATAAACTATTTATTTACTATCTATTCAATATCTACGGGCTGACCGAGCATATATGCAGTAGATGGCTATGGTTGTGGGCGGCAGGGGAGTAGAGGGGTGGGGGGAGTGGAGGAGATGGGTGTTGGGGCTATGGCGGGTATGGAAGGGGAATATGGCTGAGGGGGAGTTGGCTACTGGGGTCGTACCGGGAACAGGTGATAAGATGGCTTTCATGGAACTTTCGTGGGACGGAGGAAGAGAGACAGGGTTGGCAAAAGGATGGAGAGGGGGTTAGACAAGCGGGATGGAGGAGTTGACTGGGTGGGGGTGGTAGATAATCTGTCAATTAGTGGTAGGGGCTATGGGTAGTGGAGTGTCAGTTAAAGGAAGGACGTAGGTTTTGTCTCACTTGACGTGTAGTAGCCCTGCTTGTGCCTTCTCTTTGGCTGCGTTAGTGGTCACGTTCACCCTGGATAGACGTAGTCACCAAACTTAGTCGAGGATTTTGTCGCCTTCCTGAGTGGGTCCCCCCCTGTGTCTGTAGACACGTAGAGGACTTCACAGGGCCTGTACCGCGTCTTTTCCGTAATTGGAAAGGCGGTTAGGTCTTCGTAGCTTTTTGTCCTTTTTTCCTTTTGATTGCGAGTAGGGCCGAATCTTAGGAGGACCCAACAAGGTCTTGCTGTCGCATAGCTCATCCGTAGTCTCCTGTCGCCTTCAACTCTTGCCTAGCATCAACTCGTAGAGGATTATAGTCCCCTACATATGCTATCCCACCGTTTGTCTGATGAAAGGAACGGCTGGATAGCAATTCCTGCTTGACCTAGTGGCTCGTCCGTACTTGTCTTGTAGTGGTAGCTGGGTGCAAAGCTTTACCTATCTTCGATTCGTAGAGGATTCCACCCAATGGTGCAATCCCACCGTTCGTCTGAGGAGACAGACGGATCTCGTAGCTGTCTCGTAGTGGTATCGGATCTAGCCGCGTAGGGTAGAGCTCCAGAGATCCTTGCTCTCCCCTTTGTCGTCATCCACCTCCTTGGCTCATAGAGGATTCTATAGTCGAGGAGATCAGTCCTCCCTTCCTGCAACGGACGGTCCGATAGTTACTTCAGATAGGCGCTACAAAATCACGTGAACGCAGCTAACCAGGTTCGACCTAGGCGCTGGGCAGTGCCACCTACTACGTGGCGTGGCACCTCGTGTTTGCACGCGGAGGGCCAGGCGTATGGCCGCGTGGCGGCTTGACGTGAGAATTAGCGCTGCGGGCTTGTGCTAACCGGCGGCTGCATGGTGGCTTGGCATGAGAATTAGCGCTCCGGGCTTGCGCTAACTGGGGTGCGTTCGCTATCATGACGATATTTTGTCTATCTACTATCTACTACAATCCTAAAAGGAAAAGCGGACTGCAGCTAACGCAGTCCACAGGCCCAAGCGGTAGTATTGGGAAACCCAGACTGATCATGAGGCCCAGAATTTTTCAGGCCCTGTGGTGCTGTGAGGTGGCCCAGAAATCTGGGCCACCCCGCAGTGCTGTGCAGTCCGGCCTGAAAGAAGATTTGGCACAGAGAGGCACACACACACACAGACAGGCATTAACACAGGGCAACCTGAAAACACACAGACCCAGGCACACACACTCACACACTCACACGCTTACACGCTCACATACTCGCACACACGCTCACATACTCACACACACGCTCACATACTCACACACTCCCACTCACACGCACACACACACACACTCGAGTCCGATGCCCGCAATCTGGCGATGATTTCTTCAGTGCTGCAGGCCTGCATGTGCACCAGGCACGAGGTGCAGCTACTTGTGCAGCGTTTGCACGACTAGCAACCGCTCTGACCGCAAGTGCGGCTGATCAGCTTCCGCTTCCCGCATCTGGTCTACCCAGTTCTTACCCCCCTGACCCGCCCCTCTCTCATCCACCTAGCCCTGATTGCTCCCCTGCCCCAAGTGACAATGACCCGTCTTCTGATTACCTTATGGAGCCCCCGATTAAAGATTATCTCTCTCCAGAGCGCATACTAGAGCCATCTGATCAAGACGGCAATGAGTCTCCGCCACCTGTGCAATCTGCAGAATTGAACAAAGCTTCCCCTGCCGTGAATGAATCTCCCGCACAACCTGCGGAATCGGACAATGGCATAGCGCTACAGTGAGGCCGCTGTGCATACTATGCCATTAATGTATGTCTCCTTGCTTACAATTGTAACCATACTGTTTCTGATTTCGCAGACGTTGTCCGCTGGATAGAAGAAGAGCACCGTGTCGTCTGCCCAGAGGACAACAGTGCCGCAGCTGGTGTTGACATAGGAGTCCTGTCTATGGCATTTATGGGTAGGCGCCTACAATTCCAGCCTGCTCCACAAAACCACGTGCCGGGCATGGATCCGAATATTCGGGCATATATCTTACATCGTCCAGGTCATTTCAGTGCTCTTACCTTTGCGGATAATTCATGGACCCTATGGGGCAATGGCAGCAACATTTTGGCGGAAACGTTCCCTATCCACCTCCTAGATAGTGGACTGGTTTGTACTTGAACAGCATGATCAACGCGCCCCGTGGGGGTCAGAGATCTACTGACGCCATGCTGGTAACCGTGCGGAACGACGTTGTCGCTCCCAGTAGACACTAGCCAGGAGTAGTACATCGCGAGTCCGATGTCCACAATGTGGCGATGATTTTTAGAGTGCTGCCCTGGCCTGTGTGTGCACCAGACACGAGGTGTAGCCACCTGCGCAGCATTTGCACAACTAGCAGCCACTCTGAGCACAGGCGCGGCTGATCCCCCGCCCACTTCTCATCCACTTAGCCCCGATTGCTTCCCCACTCCGCCCACTTCTCATCCACTTAGCCCCGATTGCTTCCCCACTCCAACTGACAATGATCCACCTTCTGGTCATCTGACGGAGCCCCCGACTGGAGATGCTCTCTCTCCGGACTGAATGCTAGAGCCAATGGAGGTAATGCAGTCAAAGGAACTGTCAAGACCGTAATGAACCTCCCCCTACCGTGCAATCTGCATAATTAAATGAGCCTCCCCCTGCCCTGCGAATGTGCAGAATCAAGCTACTACTGTTTTACAACTTTTACTTAGTATTCTTTTTGTCAAAATTTGCGAACTTAGTCTGACTTCTTACCACTTTTATTTGTTTGTTATTTTCATTTGTTAATGTTCAGAATGTTCAATTTAGAGCACCTGAGAACAAACGAAGAAGAGAGTCAAAGTGTCAGGTAGGAGAACGCGTCTGGGTTAAGTCTTCGCAGTTCAGTCAGGAGGTAGACATCTCACACAAACTGATGCCACAGTATTTTGGGCCCTGGGCCCTGGGAACTCCTTGACATCATGGGTTCAGAGTCTTCAGACCCAGATGTGCCGTCGTATGCGATTCGCGTCCCACCTGACCTACACACTTAACCCTTTCGTTCATGCCTCCAACCTACCACCTTTTTCACAAACTAACGAGTTACGAGTTTCCTTAGATCGACGCGGCCCCCGACCATGGATGGATACGTCGACGTCGACCAAATTGTGGAGCATAAAGTAATGCCTGTACACCTAAGACAGTTGGCAGAGGGAGTCTGCTGAAACCCTAGATGGAGTTCCGGGTAGGATTCAGGCGTCATACGTATCTTGAAGAAGATTGGTGGTCTACAAGGTAGGAGCTGATCAGAACAGCACCTGAAATCGTATCTTATTATATGAGAGAATGATTAAAGGGAAGCAGCAAGTGGTTTGAGGGCTTACTCACAGGACTTTCGAAGCAGAGGGGGAGGGAGTGCACGGCATGAGGCCCTCTGCCTAGTACCACACCTTCCATGAACATGGAAGTCCTGTCTATGGCATTTATGGGACGATGACCGCAACTCCAGCCCGCCCCACAGAATAACATGCCAGACACGGACCCAAATATTTGTGCATACATCCTGCATCGTCCAGGTTATTTCAGTGCTGTAACTGCTGTTACCTTTGCGGGTTAACTCATGGACCCTATGGGACAATGGCAGTAGGGTACACATGGTGGGAAATATTAACTCTTTCTATTTCTGAGTGGCAGAATCGCACTTGTTCTGGCTGGTCAATCAGCAAAGTATGTGGATGTGCACTTGCAAGCTCTTCATCCCGCCCGGCTGAACCTCCTCCGTCCCCCAGTGCACGCCCAGGCAGTGCCCCTTTACTGTGTAGATCGGACAGATTATACCATGGATAGTGAAGGGACATCTCCAATGGATGGTGGCTGTGCCATGCCATTTTGTCTCCATACAGATATGTTACGGTCAGCATGCACACTCAACCCCCCGTCTTATTACTTGCCCAATATGACGTTGTGGTCTTGATGTGCCATGCTCAGCGAGATGCGAACGTCAGCCTGCTTTCCTGCTGGCATGTCAACAACGTTGTCAATGTTTCGAGGGAATCTGTCATCTAATGCGTGGACTAACTGCCCTAATTCCATCACCGGCCACATCCTCTCGTAGCATGTCCCGCATGCAGAGCTGGGCGTACACCTGCCGTAATCGGATCTCCTTCATCCTTGCCAGATGAACAACGTATGCAGCAGCCTGAGGTGGAAAATAGACTATCACATGAACCCCTACAGTGCGGTGTACTGAAAGGTTATCATCGCCAGGGCAAACTGTTATAAACCACATCTTGCAATGTCTAACACGCTTACTTTGGATCAGCTCTCGTCGTCGCCTGCCCATAGATAGGGAACCATGACTGCAGCAACACAAGAAGCTTGCTCAATGCCGCTCTGTGATGGACCACCTGAGATTCGGCTAGCATGTGATTCGCATGCTTCGTGTCGGGAGGATTATGAAGGCACAGCCCATGCAAGTTCTTGTTTTCATAAATTCATACATATGATGACAGTCAACAGTGCACTCATGTAGGGCACCCTGACATGTCATGTCCGATGCATAGACAGGGGCTGGAACGGCAATTACACCTCTACAAGTTCAGGCGGCGTGCCTCTGCGTTCCTAGCATGTAGGAGTCACGTAGCCTGTGACATCTGTCTACGCCGTGCCATTCGATGCAGCGATTGTGACTGGGAGAATTGAAAGTAGTGCTTCCACAGTCTACACCTGAACCTGTCCTGTCCAGTCTGTAGGGGTGGCCACTTACCATAGGCAACGGCAGCTCCTCAACTCAAAATATCGTGCAACCCAAACACTGAGTGGCCTCTTGTGCCATTCTGGAGTAGTCCGCTGCAGCGGTGAGTATTGAGAACCCTGTGAAGTTCATCTTCCCTCTGTTCTGTTCTTTGCCCTTCCACTTCCCTCCTTTACCCCTTCTCCCTCCCCCGCCGCTCGCTTCCAATAGAACTCCACCCCCTACCCCTTTCCTTCTTCCCTTCTCTTGTGTACTGCTAGTAAAAGCATACAAATGAGCATCACTAAGAGAACAGACAACATATAAGCTGAAGACATGGAGAAAATTGAACAGGATTACACCTCCCCCATTACTCTGCCTCCGGCACACGGGGATGAGGGCAGCTGGCACTCAACCACAACGAGCATGACCAGCCTTGTACATGAGAGGCACAGTAATAGGGAGCTGCGAGAACAAATAAAGGCGTAGTAGCGTACCCAAAAGAAAGCCAAAGTAAAGATAGTGAAGAGACGTAAAGCTGTTTCATTGTTGGATTGGCTCATCTCAGGAGTGCTTCATTGTCTGCAATAGAGGTAAAGCTGCTTCGATTTTGGATCTCATCTGGGTGAAGCAGGGGCTGTTGTGGTGAAAATCTAGAACACACGGACAGCGCACACAACACACAACACACTTGTTGTTGTTGTTGTTGTTTTTGTAGAGCTGTGTATAGCAAACATGACAACAGACACATATGTTGCATACTTGTGAAACACAGTCATAAGTATGGCGCAGATTCCCAGAACCGACCAGATAATACAGAGTTGATACAAATACAGCGGAAGGGCATGTTACCTTTGGATTGACTCAGACCTGACTCGGACTGCAATCAAACAACTCTCATACATTCATCGGGTGTGAATGCCCTGGCCTTGAGAAGAGACGAAAGGCCAGGGACTGAAATCATACACGGACGAAGGGGGGAGAGGAGAGAGACGAAGGAGGAGGAGAGGGGAGATGATGTCAACTCGATGTTTCCAAAGATAGTAACTTGAACTGTCAGAAGTGATGAGAATCGGAAATGTCGTGAATACCAAGTCTCACAATCTCCTAGATGTCGATCTCACAATGTCAAGTACATCTCCGAAGGAGAGATGGAAATCAGATCCCGAAATAGTCCTCAACTCGTACTCTCAATGTCGCTGTCTCAGATGTCATCAGAAATCGTAACCATCTCCATTACTGTAGTAGTAAGTCAAGTAGACTTAGACCGAGAGGGTAGGGGGAGAGAGAGAGAGAGAGAGAGAGAGAGAGAGAGAGAGAGAGAGAGAGAGAGAGAGAGACGAGGCAGATGGAACAGGGGGAGAGGAGGCAGAGCCTTCCTCCCGGTACCTGCTGGTAGCTATGGTGCGGCTGGGCCGCTGCGCTGTTCCTCTTGCCGCTGCGCCCGCTGTCTCCTGGCGCTCTCGCTGCTGCAGCGCTGCGCTAATCTGCTTAACGCTTGGCTGCTCCGCTAATCCTCCAGACTAACTCGTACATACTAACCTTTTTCACTGAGGCTGGTACCCAGCCTTTTGTAGTGCTGGGCCGGCCTCTTGCCTACCGGTACCTACTGGCCTGGACCGTTGATCTAGATCAACGGTCCAGTTTCGAAACTGGTTTGGCGCCTAAACTACGACAGCCTATGAACCGCTGCCGGTAGGTCCCAAGCTGGACCGGTACCGGCCTTGTGGCCGTTCGGCCTGGGCCTGCCTGAACTGCCGTGGTCCAGGCCCTTTTTAGCCTCATCTGAACCGGTGTCCCCTAGGCTAACCCTGCCTGTCTTGGAACCGGGCCCTAACTGGGGTCCGACCGGCTCAGTATGCCACACACTCCCCCCCTTGGAGGACCGAGCTAACTGCGAGGGCGAAGCTGTCTGTCCGATGTCCGTACAGGGCGGGCAGGTTGGGCAGCTTCCTTAGCAAGTCGCTGTTTTTCATAATGCGCGAAGATGAGGGGTGCTGATGCCTTCAGATCAGCTCTTGAGATCCAGCGTGTGTCATTCGGATCGCATTGCTTGAATGTAACGTTGTACTGCATTGGCTTGTTGCCATGCTTGAGATGCGTGAGAACCCGGTCGACCTCCTGATGGCCGTCCATTGAAGGAGGGTCCTGTGACCGTCTGCCCGGGAAGTCCGTTGCGGAGGCTGGAGTGTAAACCGCCAGCTTTGAAGCGTGAAAGACCGGGTGTACTGTCAAATGCGGGGGAATCTCAATGATGAATGATGGACCCGCGGGGTCGTCGCCAGCTGCTGAAGTGACCATCCATGGTCCAAACCACTTCGGGAGGAGCTTGCGCGAGACGTCCTGCTCGAGCGCGAATTCCTCGGAGGTGACCCAAACTAGGTCGCCGGCGCGAATTGGACATGGGATGCGACGCCGATTCGCTTGCTGCTGCATACGGACCTGAGCCTTTTGCATGTTAGCGCGGGCTTTGGCCAGCAGTTCCCTGTACTTCCGTGTAGAAGCGGGGGAGCAAGCGGCGTCGATATCGGCAGCCCGTGGAAGCAAAATGTCTTCGAAGATACGTCCTTTCCGTCCACCGTGGTGCAACTCGAATGGAGTCACAACCCAGTCCTTCTGACCCGGGCGGATGAGCGTGCGGAGCATCATCTGCGCAGTCTGGTGGGCACGTTCTGTCTGCCCATCCGTTTGAGGATGCCGTGCGGAGCTCGGTTTCATGCTGGTGTCGGATTCCACCATGAGTGCCGTCCAAAAGGCCGACATGAAACGAGTGTCGCGGTCGCTGACGATGTCTTCCGGAACGCCGTGGCTGCAAAACCAGCCGGTATGCAAAAGTCGTGCGAGCTCGGGAGCCGTCGCATGATACTTGCATGGAAGAAATCGAGCGTACTTGCTCAAACGGTCAACGACCGTGAGAATACCATCATGACCAAGGCGATCGCGAGGGAAAGGACCGGTCACATCCATTGCAATGGAGAGACCTGGTGCCCGAGGTATCGACAATGGTTTCAGTTCGCCGTAAGGGAGCTGATGGCGCCCTTTATTCCGGTGGCAAACTGCACATGACTGAATGTACCGGTTGACGTCGTTGATGATGTCCGGCCAGTGAAAACGCTGGCGGAGTCGTGCTAGTGTGCGTGCGACGCCAAGGTGTCCTGCCARCCGCGAATCATGGTATTCGCCAAGGAGGCGAGTGCGCAAGATGCGGTCTTGGGGAACACACAACAAGTCCTTGCCTCGCRTATGGAGGAGCAAGTAGCCGTCGGTGATGCGATAGTTGCTTGCCGGCGGTTGGTCCGATGATAAGTCCGCGTAGAGTGTGGAGAATCCCGGATCCGACTTGTAGCCGTTTAYGAAATGTTGTTGGAGGTCCTCGTCGAGGCCGAACGTGGAGTGTACCATGGCGCAAAGATCGGGTCTTCGCGAGAGAGCATCCGCCGCCTTGTTCGAGGAGCCCGGAATGTGCTTGGAGGTGAAGTCGAACTGGTCAATGAAGTACATCCACCGACCGATCGTACTGCTCACCGTGTCTTGCGTCTAGACAAAAGCTAGGAGTTCCTTCTTCCTCGCATCATCAAGAGTGTTGATGGGCGGCACCTTTTGGCTGAAATACTCAACCGGATGCCAGTCTGTGTCGTCATGCTGTTCCAAAACCACGCCAATGCCGTAACCGGAAGCGTCCGTAGTCACTTTGGTAGGCAACGTCGGGTCGTAGATGCTTAGGACAGGAGCTTGAAGCAAAGCCGTCTTTAGCGTGTGAAACGCATGCCGGGCCTCGTCGCTGAACTCGAAAGGCACCAAGGGGGACTGAAGTCGTGACAATGGTGCAGCGATGCGTTGAAATCCTTTGACGAAGCGCATGTAGTACGATGCCAAGCCGAGAAAGGAGCGGACGTCGGTAGTACACTTGAGGTCCGGCCAATCTTGAATAGCTTGTAACTTGTCCGCGAGCGGACGAATGCCTTGCGGCGTGACGTAATGGCCCAAGTACTCCAGCTCTTGYTGGGCAAACTCGCACTTGTCGCGGTTTGCCTTGTACTTGGCGATACGAAGCCGCTCCAATACGGCGCGAAGGTGCTCGAGATGCTCGTCCAGCGACCGACTATAAACCAAGATGTCATCAAGGTAAATGAGAACGGAGCGGTCGAGCAAGTCGCGGAATTCCGTCGTCATAGCCGCTTGGAAAGTAGCCGGGGCATTGGTGAGACCGAAAGGCATGACGATCCACTCAAAGTGCCCATACCGCGTCTTGAATGCGGTCTTGTACCGATCTCTTGGCTGAATCTCGATCTGGTGATAGCCGGACTTGAGGTCTAGCTTGGAGAAGTACTTGGCGCCGCCGAGTCGCTCGAGAAGATCATCGATCCGAGGGAGAGGGCCAGCGTTCTTGATCGTTTGTGCGTTGAGTTTACGATAGTCCATGCACAACCGAAGGTCCTTGTTCTTCTTCCGGATGAAGAGAACGGGAGCACCGTATGGCGAGCAGCTAGGGAAAATCCAGCCCTTGGCCAAGAGGTCGTCTAGTTGTGCTCGAAGCACTTGAAGTTCCTCTTCGCTCATGCGGTAGATACATCCGCGCGGAGGTACGGCGCCGTCCTCGAGAGTGATCCCGTGACGTATGGGCCGATCCGGTATGACTCCGGCGGGAGCTTGAAAGACATCCCCATAGCTGTCCAACAGCTCAATGATGCGTGGGTCCGACGTATCCGTCTTGGGCTGATCACCGGGTGGGAGGGCGTGAAGAAAACATATGCCCATCTCCTCGATGGCGTTTCGCCGGATGGATTGGCGAATGCTCGCCGTGGATACCACGTGACAACCAATCGAAGGATGAGGAAGCGGCACCGTACACGGGACTAGTTCGCCATGCCGATCACGAACGTGAACGGTGCGGCGATGGAAGTTCACCGGATGGTCTTCGCTTTGCAGCCACGACATGCCTAGGATCATATCGAACTTGGTGTCCAATATGTCGAAGGACACGACCTCGCTTGCTAGCGGGGCGAAGTACACGGGCACCGAGTCAACGCATCGGTCGATTGACTTTTGCGTGTGACCATCGGCCAACGTGACGTGCGTAGGCTGACTTTTCCTTCGAACGCGCGGGCCTAGCCCGGTGCGTGCCATGAAGTCTTGGCCGATGTAGTTGCGAGTCGCTCCACAATCGATCAAGGCATTGCAGGTCGCCTTTCCGATCTGAATGCGGATGTAGAGGAGCGGTGTGTCGGTGTCGACGTACCGTTGCGTTGCGTACTCGCGGTCGATCTTCGCAAGGAAATTGCAAAGGTCAACAACGGCTACTCCGCCGTCCGTCGACGGAGGTGGTACTGCAGCGTGCAAGTATTCGCGTAGATGTGCCATTAAGGCATTGCAATGCGGAGTTGGCAAAGAACCGGTGGAGGGCAGAGGCAACCATTGGAAGTCCTCAACCGTCAACGGGTCGAGATCCTCAAGTCTCGCCCAAGTTGACGGATCCTCCGATAAGATGGCTGGCGAAGCCACCGGTTCATTGTCCGACGGCGGAACTGCCACGCATATGCTTGAATCTTGCACGTGGAGAGGCTGGTTCAACGGTGGGACCAGCTCGACAGCATAGTTCTCGTACTCAACGCGAGAACTTGCGACTGCCGCGGTGTCCCCGGATGTGAGAGAGGCTGCTAGCAAGGCAGCCGACTCCGGCGGACTGTGAAGTGTTGTCGCTGCACTTCCCGCGGTGCTCAGTTTCCCGAGCCAGGACGCTTGACGTTTTCTTTGTCCTTGTCGAGGCATGCACTGGTGATGTGCTTGGTGCTATTGCACCACAAACAACATCCCCATTTTGAACATGTCCTCGGTAATCCCGAACTTCGTCCATGGTGCCTGTCGTGCTCCATCCGCCGACGCTGGTTTCGCCTTCTGTTTTCCCCCTCGGGGTTTTGAGCGTTGCGGTGGTATCGCTGCCACCACATCTCCGTCACTTGATGTCGAAGCGGCTGCGTAGTCCTCACTTTGTCCTTGCTGGACTGCTGCTACTTGCGGCGTCCGTTGATCTTTTCCTTTCTCCACGTAACCGGGCTGCTGACGAGTCTCGTTAGCCGCACGCCGGTTACCTTGTATAAGCTCTCTGGCTTTGGCGATCATGTCGTCAAAGTTCTTATACTCGTATTCGCTGCYGAGAGCAGCAGTCAAGGCGTCGCAGGATCGGGCGAAGAATTCGCCTCGGATCGAGTCRAACGGTAGGTTCAACTCTGGGGTGGCGACGAGTCTTTGCCACTCCGTCAGCCATTCCCGCGAAGGTTGCTGGCCTTGGAAGATGTGGAAGATCTTGTTCAAGGCGYGACGCTTGTCATTGTTCACCATGAACCGGGTCTTCCATTTCTTCTCAAACTCCTCCCACGTGATCTTCGTGTGGAGGGTGGCGATGGTACACTCAAGCGTCGCGGCCATGTGTGTCATGAATGCTTGCGCTCCGCCTATCAGTTGGAGGTACAATGCATCCAGCCGGCGTAGGGGCGGAGTATGATGCACGTCGGCCTCTGCGTTGAATGCCATCCACCATTGCAGCGGATCGGTCTTGTGATAGTCGTCAAACTTCTCAATTTTGAAGTTCGGCATCTTCCATTCCTTGGCGACGGCGACYGGTCGTTGATCAACGCGGTCGCTGAGCGTCTGCAGCTGATTGCTGACTGTAGAGGCTCCGGCAAACTTGCTGATGTCGCCCAGGGATGCGACTAAATGATTGACCCGCTCTTCCAATTGCTTTACCTGTGCGGTCAAAGCTGGGCTGCAGTCGACTGCTGCATTGCCCGTTGACGCAGCTGCGGACAGCTGTGCCAACCCGTTGCTGACATCTGCCTGCAGCTGGTGGTTGAGTGTCTGCTGCTGGCTGTTGGCGGCATGTGGTGTCCTGTTCTCGGCCTGCACCGACGTGATCCTGTTATCCATTGCCTTGAGTGTTGTTTCATGGCGGATGAGGACCTGCCGCGTGGCGAGCAGTTCGCGTTGCTGCCAATTGCATGTGTACAGCAGATTCTCCATCAGAACTGCTATTCCTTCTTTATCTGCGTCCTCCGTGGTTGGCTCTCGCCGTTCATCGGTTTCATGGAAATGCTGTCGGCGAAGTAGCCTGCCATAGGTGGCTTCATCGCGAGTCAGATCCATAGTGGATTGGTAACGAGCCTGGTTCTGATCTGCCTCGACCTGCTGCTGTTGCAACCGTGCGGCTGCTGCAGCTTCTGCTGCGGCCTGCTGACGTGCTGCCTCTGCCTCTGCCTCTGCCAGCTGGCGTTGAATCTCCTGCTGGCGGGCGGCTTCCTCTTCTTCCCACTTGCGTTGTTCAGCGGCCGTCGTCTCGGAATACTTCTGGAGACGGTCTAGGAACGCTAGGAGCGGTTCATCGGCCTGCTGAACTGGGAGAGTCTGGTTGGTGCACTCTTGTCAGAGGTGGCAGCCATGGTCGTGCGTCGCTTGCGCGGGATTCGCGGTGCCTTGGGTCCCGGTTGGGGCTTGGCTGCCTTGGACTCGCGTTCTGCCAATCGTAGGCTGCGGCGCATTTAGTGTCCGGCTGCACGTTGCTGTTGACGTGGCACTCTGCTGACGTGGCAATGTACTGACGTGGCACTCTGCTGATGTGGCACTTGCGTGTCCCTCTGCTGATGTGTCACTGTACTGACCTGTCACTCTGCTGATGTGGCACCTCTGCTGACGTGTCCGGAGACTGCAGTTTGTAGAACCAAGAGGAGAAGAGAAGGTTGGGTGGTGAGGAGGGGCAGAGAGGCACACAATGCACAGACAGTCCCTGTGTCCCCGGACCTCGAAGTCTGGTACTAATCAAAGGAAAAAAAATTCCCCCCCGAACGAATTTTCGAATTTTGGAAAATTAAATAAAATTTTAATCGAAAAAATTGGAATCAATAAAATTTAATTTGGCAAAAAGATGTAATACCTGATTAACGAAATATTTAACTTTGCAACCGTTTATTCACAAAGGTTAAATATGTCATCGAAATATTTTAGATTTGCATCTATAAAAGAAATGAATAAGTTTACGCAAGTTTAAACATTTAGACATAACCCCCATGGTCCAGGCCCTTTTTAGCCTCATCTGAACCGGTGTCCCCTAGGCTAACCCTGCCTGTCTTGGAACCGGGCCCTAACTGGGGCCCGAGTGGCTCAGTATGCCACACATATATATATACATAACAACAACAACAACAACATCACAAGCAGACATATCCACCCATCTGGGGGGGTAAAGGGGGGAGATGAGGAATGTGATTGTTGATTATGAACATTTTTTTTGATGTAACAGGTGTGGGAGCTGGCCTGGACTATTTGAGGCTGCATGGGAAGCCTGGCCCAGTCCAGGTCCGGGCAAGGTCAGGTCGAGGTGTTGGGCAGCCCGGGGAGAGAATAGAAAAGGGAAAATAAATTTAAATAATTAAAAAAATTCTGCAGAATAACTATGTTGTGCAAAGTTTCAAAATCAAACAACTTTCGGCTGAGGGTCACTTCGAAATTCCATATCAAATTGGGGGGAAAAAAGAACAAATTATGGCACACCCCTTCACACCACCGGTGCACGACCCCAGCCTTGCTGAAAATGAACTCGTTGCCCATCCAAAAAATTTTGCGCCACCGGCCTACTGGACCACAACGGCTGGCGCCGCCAGCCAAAAAAAAAAGAAGTGCGCCGCTGGTGGTTTTGGCAAGGTGTGGCGTGCAGTGGAGTGCCTCCAGGCCCGGGTGTACTGGTGGTTTAAGGCCCTTCAGACCCCTTTAAACCCTGTTTATACCTTTCAACTGAGACATCCACCGAATTCAAAGATAAGACTGGATTTGGGCATGTCTTGGGGGGTGCCGAAATGCCCCACCATGAGATTCTGAAAGAGAAAAAGCGAAAAAAAAAACCTCATTTTTTGGCTTGCCCAGGTGACCCTAGCAGGTGGGTCCAGACTGCCCAGGCCCGGCCATCCAGCTGGGCAGCCACGCGTGGGCGGTCCCGAGGGCCCAGTTTAGGAGACTATTTGGTGACGCTTGTCAAAATATTAAACTTGAACTGTTCATAGTTTCAAATTGGGTCCAAACCACTGTTGCACTAATTCTCTCTCTCTCTCTCTCTCTCTCTCTCTCTCTCTCTCTCTCTCTCTCTCTCTCTCTCTCT